GGCTGAGGTGGGAGGATCACTTGAGCCCAGGAGATTGGGACTGCAGTGAGCCGTGATTGTGCCACTCTACTCCTGCCTAAGCAACAGAGCAAGGCTCTGTTTCAAACCCCTCCTCTGCCCAAAACTGTCTAATTCTATATAACTCAGTTACATGAGATGTTTTTCCTTCTCACAGGTTCAGTTTAATTTGCAGTTTACAAAACCAAATGCAGCACTAGGAGACGTTCAGTCAGGAGCAACTATTAGTATGCCTTGCTCAACTGATAAGGAAAAGTAAGTACTTAATGACATAATTTTGAAGGCCATCTTAAAGAATTTTTCTCAGTGCTTGAGAGCTGTGATACCCACCTGTCTACCTGAGACATTGCAAGTTACTGATCAGTGGAATTTAAGTTGAATCACTCTTAGCTATAAAAAAGAGATTTCTCCTATTTTTTCTGTTTCCTCCTCCAACAGTCTACTCATTTTTTTTAATGTGGGATATGCTTAGATAGTAAAATTTTGTTTGTTGAAAGAGATTTTCCTACATAACTAAAGACTGGTCTTTCAGATATTCTCAGATATATTCACAGAAATTTTTTAAAATTCCTCATGGTCAGCTGTTTTTGTTTTCTTATATGGCTATGTCTGCCCCTGGAAGCTCTCCATTTTTCTGATTTATTGCTTTCAGTATAATCTAATCTAAAATACCAGGTAGTTAATATGCTAGAAATATGCAGAGAATGAGTAAAAAGGTTTGTGAGATTTTCCTATAGATAACATAAATAAGCTTTAACGCCATTTTGCGACCCTAGGTTTTAAACAGGGTTTACATAGTGAAGTCTGTTGATTCAGTGACTTGTGGTTAAATCAAACCACTCATACAAACTTTTCTCTCTGGGTAGACTTCATGTTTGTAATTTATTATTACTAATATAGTTATTTATTAAATTTAATGACTTTAAGGCCTATCTGCCAATACTCATTATCATGAGCTATAACCATCCCAGTTCTACATTACAAACTAAATTACTAACATAGCTCAGAGGGTTCCATCCCCAGCTCTCAGCTTTTATTCATTGGATCATGATGTGTTAAAATAGTTAATAATGTTTGTGGCTGGTCACAGTGTCTCACGCCTGTAATCCCAACACTTTGGGAGGCCAAGGTGGGTGGATCACTTGAGGCCAGGAGTTCAAGACCAGCCTGGCCAACATGGTGAAATCCCATCTCTACTAAAAATACAAAAATTAGCCGGGTGTGGTGGGTGGGCACCTGTAATCTCAGTTACTCAGGAGGCTGAGGCATGAGAATCGCTTCAACCCAGGAGGCAAGAAGTTGCAGTGAGCCAGTTGCAGCACTGCATTCCATCCTGGGCAATAGAGCGAGACTCTGTCTCAAAAAAATAAAATAAATAGAAAAAATAATTTTAAAAAGTATTTGTGAGCCTCTATTTTTAAAAAAGATCAAAATTCACTTGTTCACAGGGAGAGTACCTTGAATTCCTGTTAATGGTGGCATATCATAATGTTTAGTATATTTAATTCATCATAGGCCAGGCATAGTGGTGTACGTACACCCATAGTCCCAGCTACTCAGGAGGCTGAGGCAGGAGGATCACTTGAGTCTGGGAGGTTTGAGACTGCAGTGAGCCATGATCCTGCCACTGCACTGCAGCCTGGGGGCCCTGCCTCAAAAGAAAAAAGAAAAAAAAAAAAAAAAGCCAGACAATGTGGTACATGCTTGTAGTAGTCCCATCTGCTTGGGAGGATGAGGGATCACTTGAGCCTGGGAGTTGGAGTCTGTAGTAAGCTATGATCAGTCACGTCACTGCACTCCAAACTGAGCCACAAAGCAAGAACCTGTCTCAAAAAAAAAAAAAAAAAAAAAAAAAATTATAGAGCAGTTTTACTAGCAGAGAATATGACAATCATATTTGTAGTATGAAGTCAAACATAACTATCTGTCCATAAAATTAGGACTGTTCAGTGATTTTGACTTTTTTCTGGTTATTTTGTCAGCTAGCAAAAAGTGGCACCAGGTATCAAACGTTAAAGAAAAAAATAAAATAGAAAAAAAATCTATTCACCCACTTATTTTCTGAAAATTGGGTCAAGAGCAGCCATCATTTAATTTTAAGGACTGATTTATTCTCATTGTTTTGCAAGAGCCTTTAACTTTTTACAAGTAATACTAGGGAAACCGTTAACACTGGACAGATTTAGAAAAGATGGCAGTGGTAGAAAGGGGAAACATACAGAAATGCCCTTCTTTCACCCCCCGATTTTCTCATTTGTATTAATTTGACCAGAATTTATTATTGTGGAATGTGTATTAATATTTGGTCATGACTACTTTGAAGCACTAGAAAATTTTGAAGAGCTTTTGGTCAAAGGAAAAAAATCTTATTTTAAATATGAGTTAGAAATTAATGGTGAAATTAATTAATGGTGAAATTGAGAAATTATTCTCAAGGCATGTATTTTTCTGTCATGTATCACTTATGTGCTAGTATTTAAATTTTTACAGCACTTGTAGAATTTTCATTTTTCCCACCATCTTTATCCCAGCTCTTAAGATTTTATTATAATCTACTATTTACTGAGGATACTTTGGTTTATGTATAAAATTACCATTTGCTTAAGAAACCAGTGAAGAATGTGTTCTGAACAAAGCTAAGCTATAAATAGAACTTAGTTACATTATCTTGCATATGTATATATATGAGATAAACCTTCAAAATTAATAAAGACTTTGTTAAATAATTACCATTTTCTTTTTAAGTAGTGAAAATTTAGGGTTGGAATCCAAATACCTGAAGAAAAGGGAAGATAGCATTCCTTTACGCGGACTCAGCCAGAACCTATTTAGTAATTCAGGTGAGCAGGGATTTCTGGATTTTGTACTCTCTAGTTTAATTAAATGTAATGTATGAAGACTTAATGAATACCACTAACTTCTTTTTGTCCTCATTTGCAGACCATCAGAGAGATGGCACTTTAGGAGCATTACAGGTGTCTTCCAAACCCACAGTGCTCCCCTCGGCATCTTCAGCATATTTCCCTGGGCAGCTACCAAACAGTTAATTCTAGTGTCATGTTTTACTTTTTACTGATATTTTAGAAACTCAGGTGCTTAAAAATACGTCAACACGAATCAAATCCTAAAATAGCAAGTTTCAAATTTTACTTGAGCTGTTGAACTGGATCCTTTAAGTACTGCTATCTTTTATGGCAGTTTATAGGAACAGATTTGTACTTGGGGATTGGTAAAGCTTGTGAGTAAATGACATTTTTTGGTTTGTGAACATGGTGTTTTATAGAATAATATGTATTTTATTAAGCTATTCTTTAGAAATTCAGTTCTAAGGAAAGAGTTGATCCTTATAAGGGAGATTTCAATCATATTGAAAATCTGGGTAAACTAAAACCTGCTCATAACCTCATAGTATGCAACCAAAGAATGCTAATTCATTTTATCACTTTCATTGGTAAAGCAAAACTTTTAAATTTGACACCTGAAAATTTTGAGGGAAAATGATTACCTCCTGAGATATCTATATTATTGATGACATTTAAAGGGAAAAGTCCTAAATTTACCTTAAATAACTGAAATGAATTAAGCCTTCGTAGCATATTTTCCTTGAAACATTTAAATTTGCTACTGATGAATCAAATAAACTTGATATACTTAAAAAAATTTGGACAGTGTATTTGTGACCAGATTAAGTGCTTTAGTCATTTGAGCTGAAAAGTTTTTTAAAACTTTAGTGCTTCCTAAATGTTTACACTCATCTAGTTTTTCTCAATTTGTAGTTTTATTATGCAGTTAAATCTCTATCAGTGGAATTTTAAAACTTGGTACTACTACTAAATCTATATCATGAATGATTCATTTATTTTTGTAGTATCAACTTGGGTTGATTTCAATGTTAATAAACTATGCAAAACAAATAACTGTTAGAAGGTACAATTTTCTTCTCTTCCCTGTAACTAAAAGTTTTAAGAATTGTTCCTTTGGAAAAATTGATTTTTTAAAAATTCACCCAGAATCATAGGGCCTCATTTTGTTTTCTTATTGACAAACAATACCTGGTAGCATTCGCTAGAGTCTTCCAAATCAGTTTGTAAAGTACTAATGCTCATGTGGTAATTTTAAAATTAGTTTCAAATACTTTATTATACAGATGAAGAAACATTTCAAGATACTAATGATATAATAATGTTACTGAGTTCCATGGTAAGAATCTTTGCTAATTTTTTTTATGAAGCCAGTATCTTGAAACTACTGGCAATTGAAAGTGTCTTAAACTATGGATCTAATCTGAAAATTCAGTAACTAATATTAGGCAGTGATACTCCCCCTGCCCCCCCATTAAAATATACTACCCTATTAGTGAGAATACTTGGTACAGTCACTTGAAAGCACTTGCTATTCTGGAAAGAAGCCTCTTGGTGATTTTGGAAGGGGCTTTGTTGTAAATACTATGTAATATATATAAAATATTGTGACAGGTTTTGGATGTGATGCATGACATACAAGTAGCTCTCTTTTTTTAAATATAGATATCTCTTTGCATATATATACACAAGGAAAGTTGAATTTTCAAAAAGATACCGTGCTATCATCTTGCAAATTTTTTTGTATTAAATGTATATAGACTTCCAAGTGTGCTAATTCTTTGCTCTACCTCTTAAACTTTTAGTTGCAATTGTTTTGCAGTGTAAAATTGTACATGTGTTAATAATCAAAAAGTGTTGCATTTAATGTTATTTCTGTAAACTCTGAGCTTTGTTAATAAACTATTATACAGCATCTACACTTTGAAAGCCAAGTACTTCAAAGCTAATCTGCATACTTACTGCATTTTTGTTTCTTTCCTCTTGTCTTCCTTGAAGAGTATTTTTTAGTGAGGGAAAAGAAATGGATGCAAAGAATGAATAATGCTTTGATTTGTTACTGTAAAAATGAGTATGGTAACAAAGCCAAAACAGGCCCTATAGGAACTCACAGATCAAGACTTTTTTTTAAAAAAAAAATCATTAAAATATTTAACTTTATTAACAGAATATTTACATTTCTTTTAAGACCTTATTTAACCATAGTGAGTGTTCCAAGTTTAAAAAGCATTAAGCAATAACCACACACAAGATGAAAACAGTGTAAACTATACAGTACTTTATATACAATTTTTACAAAGTAACACTTTTTTAAATAATATAACTGGACACAAAAATATACACTTTAGAGAAATTCACATCAGTAATTGTATAAAGCTCTCCTCTAGGGTCCTGAAAATTTAGGACAAACATTAGCTCTGTAAATAAAGTGTTACTGTGACAGTCCTGAAAGGCCACTATATATATTTATCTACATATAGATATCACATTGACATTTTCAAGGCTACCAGCTTTACTATATAATTTTTAGATTATGTATTCAAGTGTTGAGGTGCTTATGATTATGCAAACATTAAAAGAATAGTGGTATAAGAAGTAGCTGGGGAACAAATTTGAGCCAGCATTTAGATTTACAGGCTCTAAACACCCCAATTTAAATTCTAAATGGCTGATACTTTCTCACTTCAAAAACAGTAGTGAATAATGTTTAAAAGTACTGCAAACAAGCTTGAAACATGATTCAGATTTAGTACAGTTTTCTTAAGAGTTTTTTTTAAATGCAAACAATTCATTTACCATTTCTTTGTTTTAGTGCATCTGCATTAAGGCTTTGAATTATTTGACCCAAGATTTTACAATATTAAAATCTGACTCAAAATTTTACAATGTTAAAACAAATAGGTCCACAACCATACTACCTACTCTGTCTCACTGAGTCAGCATAGTTAAAGCTCAACACCTTAAGGAAATGGTAGCAGAGACATTTGCTAATATCTAAGAAGTTACATATATAGTTTTTAATTAAAGGATGTATAATAAAACAAACAGCTTAGTGGCAAGAAATTGGTGCTAATAAACAAAAGGTTTTTCAAAACAAATTGTAACATCTTTGGAAAACTGTCCAGTTCTTTAAGTTCCCACTTCCTTTAGTTCCCACGGAGTTCATGCAGATACAGTTCTTAAGACAATCTTAAAGTACACTGTGGATGGAAATGGAATGTATATCCAGAACTAGAGGTGAAAACTAAGACCTGGGTGCTGATAGAAAAATCTTCCTGATTTCAGTCGTCACACATTTGTGTCCTGGAGTAAAGGTTCTTTGGCCTCTCCTGGCGCTTGTGTACTATGAGGATGGCTGTGACTGCCACAGTGCTTTCTCCAACTGCTGGACCTTAAGCTTAAATTGGTATGTTCCGGAATAAACAAGGCAACAAGCAGAGCCAGCAGTACTGAACAGGCTCCAAATAGGAAGGGAGGGCCAGGGATGATGGAATTCTGAGGAAGAATAAAGTAATTAGGATTTTTACACAAGTACTTTTACTCATAAGGAGAAACTGCATACCTTTTAGTATTAACTTACGAATTACAAGCTAATTGCTCTTCTCTTTATTAAAGCCATAAATATAAAAGGCATCCCCTTTTTAGGAGAAAAGAGATACTATCACATTCTCTATAAAATTCTGGGAATAACAACTGGCAAAATAAGACTATGCAAAAATATTATATCATTACTTTCAGCACAAAATGTGAACACAGATGTTCTATGATTAATTTGTTAGTCCAAGGGGAAAACATTTATAGAATGATCTCAAAATCAGGCTGTGCGTGATGGCTCAAGCCTGTAATCCCAGCACTTTGGGAGGCTGAGGCAGGCACATCACTTGAGGTCAGGAGTTCAAGACCAGCCTGACCAACATGGTGAAACCTCGTCTCTACTAAAAATACAAAAAAAAAGTAGCCAGGCGTGGTGGCATATGCCTGTAATCCCAGCTACCCGGGAGGCTGATGTTACAAGAATTGCTTGAACTCGGGAGGTGGAGGTTGCAGGGAGCCAAGATTGTGCCACTGCATTCCAGCCTGTGTGACAGAGTGAGACTGTCTCAAAAACAACAAAAAAACTAAAATATAAAATCAGGTAGCATACAGTATTTACTATGGTAGCAGAATAAATGACCACTTCTTTGTTTCAAGAAGGTAATTATAATTTCAAATGACTGAAAGTAAAAAAAACACAGGTTACCAAGAAAAACAGACCTTTGTTTTAGCCCAAAATTACATTCATTCTTAGCAGAAGCTTGCACTGCCAGTTTTAATTTGTATATGGCCCACAAACATTCTTTTATTTAAAAGTAGTCTTAGTGGGTTGGAAGATTAGTGCAGACTCTACTAAATAAGCCAGGAAACTGATGAGCTGCTAATATTGGCCAAAATGATCAGCACTGTTTGGCATTAATTTTCAGTTGAAAGGAGGGAAATATAGCAAACAAGTGAACAAAGGTATTTACCAGCACATAAGCCTGCCTTTTGTATGAAAAGTCAGTTATACGGAACTGTGACATTAGAAAAGTTTCAAAAGAGAGACTAGTAGTATAGAGAAATGGTTTGTTACATATGCCACTGACAAATTAGGTTGTTTAAAATTTTTCATTCTCAAGCGGAAAAAAAATACGCACAGCCAATTTTCACAAGGCGGTATGTAGAAGAACACAGTCCCTTAAACTCTGGTTTTTAAGCATTTTATTCAGTCTCAAATAGAATCTCACATAAAAGTTTTCTTTTTTTTTTTTTTTTTTTTTGAGACGGAGTCTCGCTCTGTTGCCCAGGCTGGAGTGCAGTGGCCGGATCTTAGCTCACTGCAAGCTCCGCCTCCCGGGTTCACGCCATTCTCCTGCCTCAGCCTCCCGAGTAGCTGGGACTACAGGCGCCCGCCACCTCGCCCAGCTAGTTTTTTTGTATTTTTTAGTAGAGATGGGGTTTCACCATATTAGCCAGGATGGTCTCGATCTCCTGACCTCGTGATCCACCCGTCTCGGCCTCCCAAAGTGCTGGGATTACAGGCTTGAGCCACCGCGCCCGGCCGAATCTCACATAAAAGTTTTCATGACCAAAAACCAATATCTTTTAATCTAGCCAAATGACCTCTACAATTTGATCATGTGAATGAGAATTACCTGTTCAAAGTGGTGCTGAGGGCTTGTGTTTGTTCCCAAGTCTGTTCCTGTTATTGGCAGTTCTTTAAGTTCCACATGGAATATGTAGAAAATGAATCCATAGAGGGCCGGTCCCAGACCATTGCATAATCCTCGAATTCCTGTTATCATTCCTTGAACAACACCTACATTGTTTAAACAAATTATCACTTAGTAAACTACATATTTTTTCCCCTACCCTAGAACCAGTACAAATATGAAATCACTTAATCTAAAATCAAGGTTCTTATCAGACACTAGCAATTTACAGCAATGTCATTAGAAACGATTAATATTTAGAAGCCATCAGCTCTACGAAGTGCAGTAAGCTGTCCTATGCAAACACGGGCCTGGATGTACCGGTGTACAGGTCTAACATAGAAACAAGTGGGCAAAACCACTTTATGCCCTAGATTACAGCCTTCAACACATGGCTGGTTACAAAGCAGTCACGATTTCACAACTACGAATGTTAAAATTTCTCTGTCCCCGAGCAACTACTGAAGACCCCTTTTAGTCAAAAATAAAGTGGGGGGGTTACCCTAGCTGGAGTGCAGTGGCGCAAACTTGGCTCACTGCAGCCTCAACTTCCTGGGCTCAAATGCCTGGCTAATTTTTGTACTTTTTGTAGAGATGAGGTCTCACTTTGTTGCCTAGGGTGGTGGTGAACTCCTGGACTCAAGTGATCCTCCTGCCTCAGCCTACCAAAGTGTTGGGATTACAGGCGTGAGCCACTGTGCCCAGCCAAAATCACACTTTGGTTTTTTTTTTTTTTTTGAGATGGAGTTAAACTCTTGTAGCCCAGGCTGGAGGGCAATGGTGTGATCTCAGCTCACTGCAACCTCCACCTCCAGGGTTCAAGTGATTCTCCTGCCTCAGCGTCCTGAGTAGCTGGGATTACAGGTGCATGCCACCACGCCTGGCTAAACTTTTTTGTACTTTATTAGTAGAGACGAGGTTTCACCATGTTGGCCAGGCTGATCTCGAACTCCTGACCTTAGGTGATCCACCCTGGCCTCCCAAAGTGCTGGGATTATAAGCATGAGCCACCATGCCTGGCAACACTGTTTTTATAGCATTTTTGTTTCTCTTTTGGATCTTTTCTCTAATTTAAAATGCAACTTGCTTTGGCCATAGGCCTTTTCTTCCTCATTTATCAACCAAGTGACAACTGCCACTGTTTTGCAGTGCCCCTTTTATCCTTATGACTAGAAAAAAACACCCTTTTCAAAGAACTATTCCTCATCTGTTGGCATCCCAAGAATTAAATGCTCCCAACAACAAAAAAAAGCATATGACATTAAAAATGTTTGCTATGTTACATATCTTTAGATGACTGAAACTGTAAGATTTTTCTTTTTTTATTAGAGATGGGAGTCTTGCTATGTTGCCTGGGCTAGCTTCAAACTCCTGAGCTCAAGTAATCCTCCTGCCTCAGCTTCCCAAGTAGCTGGGACAACATTCATAAAAGGTCTATGAATATATCCCACAAGGTGTCTAGCACAACACAGCAAAAACTTAATGTTTAGTTAATATTCTGTGGCCAACCTTCATCAGGAAATTTTTTTGAGACAGGTCTTTCAAGGTCTCCCACTCTGTTGCCCAGGCTAGAGTTCAGTGGCCTGATTTTGGCTCACTGCAACCTCCGCCTCTGAGGCTCAAGTGATCCTCCTACCTCAGCCTCCCAAGTAACTGGGACTACAGGCGTGCGTCACCCTGCCCAGCTAATTTTTGCATTTTAGTGATGGGGCTTCCCTATGTTGTCCAGGCTGGTCTCCAACTCCTGAACTCAAATCTGCCCACCTCAGCCTCTTGAAGTGTTGGGATTACAGGTATGAGCCACCATGCCCAGTCTCATCAGTAAATTTTCTAAGAACAGAACAGATAAGCCACATATTCTAAGTGAGAGAAAAGGGAACATGTATCTACCTAAGGATAAATACCCTAGAATCTGCTTTTCCTGTTTATATCAAAAGCAATTTTAAAATTCTCTACCCTGAAGATATACTTACATTCAGAACACAGGATTAGAACATTCTGTACTTTTAAATAATTATTGCTGGTTCCCATCAACTCACCCTGTTGATCAGCATCAGCAGTTCGCGAAACAAGTGCACTGACGGCAGGAAAGGTGATGCTAGACATGGCCGCTACTGCCCCAGCAGCCCACATCATCCTGCAATGAAAGCAGCAAAACCAAAACAGTAACTTCTTCTCCACTGTACCTGAAAGTCAAACTACATACTTAACTCATTCTTACTGTAAAATGGCTGTAGAGAAAAGGAGAACAGAACTTGCTTACTAGGTGACTATGGGCAAGTCGCTTAACAGTCTAACCCTGTATACAAAGGCAGCAACTTAATTCACAAGAGTGCTGTGAGGGTGTCATGTAAAATCGGGGTATCATGTTCCAAACTGTAAAATGTGCTGGGTATTATTTCTACAGGCAGCTGAGAGGTTATATTGAGGATAATGTATGATACAGATGAAGAAACATCATCAAATATTTCCAAACACATGAAGCCAACAAGTCTTTAGCAAAGTTCTTATGGATTTGTGATTCAGTGTGAAGATATTGCTGATTTGATCTAATCCTTCAATTGTAAAGAACAAGTAACTTGGATGTTCCTGGCTTGATGTTTAAAAGAAATGTTTTAGGTAATCCCAATTGTGAGCACCTCTTTGCAAAGGCTAGTCTGGAAAACAAACAGTCACACTCTTGATGCTTACTCCTATCCAAGTCCAAACAGAGATGAGGCAGTGAGCTGTCTGAAATATTAGTGCAAACCATGGAGTCCAGTGCCGTAATGCCTGAGCACAATAACACTACGTGGGCAGCCTGACAAGCACCACTACTCAACGCCCCTGCAGGAAATCCGACTGGGAGGAAAAGCTGGGACACAGCATGAAGCTGGCACCAAAACAACTGGATTGTTTTCACTTCTGGTTTGCTATCAGTAATGATCACTGGTTATACAACTTTCTTTTTCCTAACTGGAAAAGCAAAAAATGTAAATAACGTTCAGGGCCTTGTTGCTGTGGGATTACATACTTTTTCCTAGTAACAGACTGATTTAGATTAAATGCTCCTTAAAGATTCAAAAGCTGTATAATCTCATTCAAAAATTCAGCCTGTCATTTTGCTACAAAAGGTCACCTTTTTAATCCTCAAGTCATTCTAGGAGAATATATATACAATTGGCACACTTAGACACATTTTGAAAGATAAAAAGCATAGTATGAGACGGATTACAGTCTACCGCTCAGTTGAGAAGCAAATAAAAACAGAAGGGCTAACACCAAAATTAAAACTATTAATATTAAAATATACTTACCAAGGTTCTGAACCAAAGCCATACCATGCCAACTGTAATATTTGAAATCCTAGACCCAATAAAATGGTGTTCTTATTTCCAATTGACCTCATAAGTAAACTCAAGACTATGGTCTGAAAAAAAAAAAAAAAAAATAAGTAAACTCAAGATTATGGTCTGAAAAAAAAAAAAAGATTTATCGGAATAAAGTTTTAAAAGTGACTTCTTTCAATCTATATTATAAAAAGGACTATTAGTACTTTTCTGCTAATTTGGCTGATTTTTCAGCAATACTGCTCCTGAATATGTCTGAGATCATTGGTCCAGGTCACATCAGCAGATGAAAAGTACCTCTGCTGACACAGATCCAGACTGAGAGATAGGAAACTGAAAGATAAAACTTCCTTTTATTCAGCACCTTTCTACTGAGGACCACTGTAACTGTAGTTGAAATGGAAGGGCCAAAAGTTCTAATGATTTGATCCCTAATATGTAATAGCCTTAAAAGCTTGTTTAGGTCCAAGTTAGTCTAAAATGCTTATTTCTACAACTAAAGAAAACTAACATAGAACAATGATTACCCACATATTATTTTACCTAAGTAAATCTATTGTTGAAACCATGATGTCTTTTTATAAACAGTAAATAAGTTTGATTTGGGGAATACAGTATACTAATTAAGAGCAGACTTTAGAAGAAATAGCCTGATCATAATCTTGGCTTTGTGTGGCTCTGAGTGTTCACTTGACTTTGAGGCTCACTTTTGTCTCTTTCCAAATGGGGATAACAGCACACATTTCAAACTCAATATGTGAATTAAATGAGATATATTCACATTAAGTTCTAGAATTGTGCCTGGCAATAGTCAGAGTTAATGAAACAGTATTACTGTGTGGGTGAGTTTTCTTGTGCCTCCTTTTTCTTTCAAAGTTAACAGAAATTCAGCAGTGATTTGGGAACATTAGAAAATTTTTTTGGCTATTCTAAACTAAAAGTTTTTAATATATTACATAAGATAGCTAGTAAGTCCATAGACAAAGTAAAAATACTACAGGAAGTCGCCTATTTTAAGGATGGGTTGAGACTTTAAACCTATAAAATGTAAGTTTTGAATTCTTTAAATTGAGATGGCCATTTAAGAATTTAATCACAAATATGCCAGTGAAAAGTAAATGACTCTTTTGAAGGAATTTTGCAATTAGAACTAAAGCTTTCTTTCTGTAAGACTCACTTAAATCATGTGAGTATAAGATTGAGTTCCACAAGGCATGGCTCCCTTTGTAGAATTACATTCTTTTCAGCAACTAAACCAGAAAAGGAAACTTGCCCAGAGTTCAGCAGTTAGCTGGAGAAAAACTTCAACTGAAAGAAACATTTAGGCTAGGCACAGTGGCTCATGTCTGTAATCCCAGCACTTTGGAGGACTGAGGTGGGACGACTGCTTGAACCCAGGAGTTTGAGACCAGCTCTGACAACATAGGAGACCACATCTCTACAAAAAGTTGAAAATTAGCCAGGCTGGCGGCACGCCTGTGTCCCAGCTACTCAGGAGTCTGAGTCCAGAGGATCACTCGAGCCCAGGAGGTCGAGGCTGCAGGGAGCCATGATCACACCACTGCACTCCAGCCTAGGTGACAGAGACAATCTCAAAAAAAAAAAAAGAGAAAATTTGTCTACCCTTTCACTAAAGCCATTATTTTCCAGTCTGATAAGTATGCTAAATATTTTCCATTTTTATTGCCCCCAATCAAATGCAATCTGTGTGATCATGTTGCTTTCTTCTAAGGTAGTAAATCACATGCTTCCCATGGCTTGTGGGTGGGAACTGATGCCGTTCATTATAAAAAAGAATCAGAAAGATTAGAAATGATTAGGATTCAAATTAGGGTTAGAAATAATTAAAAATAATTTTATTTGTGGAATATATCAGAGACTGGCTTTCAATTAATTATGAAAAAAGGAACCAAGTATACCCAAAGCTCTGTGGCCTCCAACTGTCTCAGAAGAACAGGGAACTATAATGCAAAGTTGAAGAACTTCTGGGAAACTACTTTCAAGAACATCCTGAAGGTAGCACTTTCATCTAAAAAGCTGATTCTTATATATTTCAGGAATCACAGAGCAGAAAATATTTGTTCTCATTTATTCACCGAGATGATGATGAACACTACAAAGAGGAACGCTGTTAAAAATAGATTTCACTTATGATGAAATCCCTGGCACTTCAGCCAAGAGACAGGGCAGTGAAGAAGGCTGAGCATCAACTCCCAGCTCAGTGGGAACAGGATGGCATGGGCCAGCCGTGTACCCTGGAGCACGTGCTCTTTCAGAAATGCTGGCCTAAGAAAGCTGAGACTTCTCAAGCATAGATCATTCATGCTACCAAAAAGTACTTATAAAATGCAGTCATTTCATAGCCCTTCAACCAATGCATCTAGCCAGTAAGTAATTATCTACAGAAATGAGTATCTTTCCTTTGGGAAAGCTGTTCTCAAAGAATAAATCCCAGTTCAATAAAAAAGGCTCAGAATGCATTATTAGCCCCATTTCCATTTTATAGATTACATTAACTGGAGAATATATTTTCTTTTCTTTTTTTTTTTCTCCAGAGATGGAGTCTCGTTCTGTTGCCCAGGCTGGAGTGCAATGGCATGATCTCGGCTCACTGCAACCTCAGCCTCCAGAGTTCAAGCAATTTTCCTGCCTCAACTTCCCAAGAAGCTGGGACTACATGCGCCAAGCACAAAGACCTGCTAATTTTTATATTTTATAAAGATGGGGTTTCACTTCATATTGGTCAGGGCTGGTTTCAAACTCCTGACCTTGTGATTCACCTGCCTCGGCCTCCCAAAGTGCTGGGATCTCAGGCATGAGCCACTGGGCGCCCCAGTCTTTCCCCTCCCCCCCTCTTTTTCCCAAGAGTTTCGCTCTTGTTGCCCAGGCTGGGAGTAAAATGGCATTAATGCTGGCTCACTGCAACCTCCACCTCCCAGGTTCAAATGATTCTCCTGCCTCAGCCTCCCAAGTAGCTGGGATTACAGGCACGTGCCACCATGCCCAGCTAATTTTTTTTTTTTTTTTTTGCATTTTTAGCAGAGATGAGGTTTCACCATGTTGGCCAGGCTGGTCTCAAACTCCTGACTCAGTGATTCACCCACTTTGGCCTCTCAAAGTGCTGAGAATACAGGCGTGGGCCACGGCACCTAGAGAATAACATATTTTCTGAAGGCCATGAGATGAGTCATTAAAATTGGAAACACCAGATACACCAATCCCCTTGACTGGGGTAACATCCATGTGCAGAATTATTGCAGCAGGCCCACTGCTGTGAAACCTCCTCTTGACTCTTCCCTACAGCCCATCTTATGACCCAAAGCCCTAAAAGACACTGATACTTATAACACTGTAACTGGGAACACTGATTTTCTTCTTGAAGGCAGGAACTTTTCTCTTATTTACATTTATATCCCCAGCACCCAGTAAGTTCTTAATAAAGTGTTTATGGAAAACATTATACCCCAACTAATAATAATATTAATAATGGAATAATAATTGTTAATAATTAATATTAATATTATTATTAATAATAATTCAATATTAATAATGGAACAACTCAATAATATTAATAATGGAACAAAATACTTAACATATACAGTGTTCTCTTGAACAGAAAATTTTGGTGTCCCTTAATTTAACTCCCCATTTTGAAGATGACAGCACTGAGTCCCAAAGGTTAAATGACTTAAGTAAGATGGCACAGCTGATTAAACATTCAACACTAACATCAACTTTGGTTAGTCTGTTAACAAATATTTGCCAATTCCCTAATAAGACTAACTTTATTCTTGGCCTGAAGACACATGGGTAAGTCAGCATTCAAAGTGATTCACACAAGGACTACTCTTCAGGAGGAAAGATGGACATGAGCCCGCTTATTTAACAAGATATTCCAGGTTGTAGCTGCTATGAACAAAATAAAATAGGGCAGCGTGATGGAGATGCTGCTTAAACCAGGATCCAGGGAAGGCCTTTCTGAAGTGCGAAAGGAAGAAGGAGCGCTAGTTATGTGAAGATCTGGGAAAGAGAACACCCAAGCATGACAGCAAGTGCAAAGGCCCTGGACTGAAACAGAACACACTCAACCATGTGGAGAGGGAAGAAATGACACAATGAGGAGTCTAGATCATTCTGGTTGCAAAGAAGAGTGAGTTTTAAAGAAAGATACGATTAAATTTCCTTTACAAAAATACTCTGCCAAGTGCAGAATGAACTATAGTGAGGCAAGATGGAGGCAGAGAGACCAGATGGAGGATAATGCCACCACCAGATTGGGTTCCTACTAATGGAGAATATCAGAATCGCTCTGATTCGAGGATGCATTTTTGGAGACAGAGGTGACAGAAGTATCATTTGATGGGCTGAATGTAGGCTAGGGAGAAAGGATTCATGAATGTCACTAAGGTCCTCTCTGGCCCTCAAAACCAGGTGGCGGTAAAGCCACTGAATGAGATGAGGAGCATAGGGGTGGCAGGCAGGGGATGGAACCCAGATTTTAATTCTTCTTGGCTATGTTAAGACTGAGATACCCAGCCAATGTGTCACATAGGAGCTCAGGGACTGACTGAGGTGTAGTGTGAGCTACCCCCACTACAGAGAGGACTGGATAGGAAAGCACAAGAGAAAAGAAATGTGTAGAACTAACTATATCATCAAAATTTTCATGTAAACACTTACTTAGTGCAAGTGTTAGAACTCATATACTCACTGGTGCCCAGGAAGCAACAGGGCTTGCTGCAACCAGAAAGAAAAGGTTCCAAAGGGGACAGCAACTACTTGGCTCTCGCTGGAAGGTTGGCCCACACCTAGTTACCAGATCTAATCATTTTGGGGAGAAGCTGCATAACCATACTCATAACTTTCCAACTTAAAAGTGTTTACTATTAATTTTTGAAGTTTTTTTTTAAACATTATGAAAACAATGACATTTGTTTAGCACCTCCTGGCAGTTCAGGTGCTGTGGTGACAAAATGAATATGATACAATCCTGACTCCCATGATCTACTCCAGAGGTCCGCTAGAAGCTGACAAAGTAAGGTAATAAACACAGGATAAAATCTCTACTACAGTGTATTCTGTACAATGATAGAGATATGCCCACATTAGCATGGGAACCCAGAAAAGGGATACTTAGGGTGGAGGAAGGGGAGGCAGAAAGAATAGCAGGAACAAAAGCACATGGGTAAGAAATGCAGCAAACAGGTGTAACTGAGAGCCATCAGCAGCTCCTGCGCTGGAGAGGAAGGAGAAATACATTGGTTTTTCAGTGGTTTAGGAGGTCAACAGGGACAGCCATTCTCAATTGTATTTCTTATTAAACGAGAATACAAGATCATTCTTCTACCTTTGAGGCTACACATGTAATAATGTAGTAGTTCATATATAATGATATAAAGTGTTAATTCTTACTTCTACATAAGCACCGATACCTAAATGGTCACTTAAGGACCTTGTTCCTCACGGACTGTGACTGTCATGCTGTATCAGCAGTGGTGGTTGGAGGGTTGCTTGCACCTTTGGGTCTTACTCGTCGCCAGGTCTCCTGGCTGCTGCACTGATCTTTCCAATACAAATCCAGCTACATCCCTCCTCTTCTTTACCTGTCTGCCCTGCCAGATTCTGCACTCTCAGAGACTGTCTTTCATCTTGTAACCTAGTGCCAGGTGCCATCTGCTGAACAGAGAAAATACTTCAAAAGCACCTGCACTCATCACTCGGTCTGCAGTGTCACTGACTAAATTTATTAGATGCATACAGCTCCCATGGTCATTTAAGTAAGAAACAGAACTAAGACCTTATAGCCATCGATCTCTACGTGCCATTACAGTATTAGTCTGCTCTCTTCATCTTAAATCTGAAACAAAAATGTTAGCAAATCTAACATCGGCAATGTATGAAAAAGATACTCATGACCAGGCTGATCACATCCGTTGCAAGGTTGGGTTAATCTTTGATAATTCATCAAGTTCTACACATACTGTGTATTTTACACTTTTTTTTTTTTGAGACACAGTCTCATTCTGTTGCCCATACTGAGTACTATGAGTACAACTGTGGCTCACTGTACCCTCGACCTCCCAGGATCAAGCAATCCTCCCATCTCAGCTTCCTGAGTAGCTGGGATTACAGGCACACACCACCACACTGGGCTTTGGTAGAGATGGGGTTTTGCCAAGTTGCTTCAGCTGGTCTTGAACTCCTGGGCTCAAGTGGGTCTCATCTTGGCCACCCAAAGTGCTGGGACTGCAGATAAGTGAACCACCGCACCTGACTCCTCAAAACTTTTTTTAAAGCCATTTTATATAAAGGCTAAGGTATATTTTCCCCTGTAAAGTTATACACTTTCTTATTATTAGGAATGAATACTTAAATGCATTGTTTTTCCAGACTGATGATTCTCAGGACAAACCTGAAGCCAGAAATAGTACTAATACTCAACACCAAGTATATGTATGTGCAGAGGCTTTGGGGAGGCATATTATGGGATTTAAATTTGAAATTTGCTAAACCCACCAAAACAGAATGAATCAAGTGAGATCTGCAGAAGGAACTTACTCAAAAAATGGTGAACCATCCATGAATCAATTAAAAAAATACTCCTAGGAATAAAATTGTTGGGCACCTAGTAGATTACATCTAAGGTGGAGAAAAAAGTATTAATTCTTTAGACTAGATTATCTTCTTTACAGAGTCTCTGAAACAGGAAAGCCAAATAAAGCAAGAAAGGGGCGGGCTTTTTCATGAAAGGAGTACCATGTTCTGTGATGTGGGGGAATTATGGAGGGGCCACCAGAGAAAACTGGTACTTTATTGTTAAACAGAAATTGTTTGAAGCCAGATGAAGTATCTCCTCAGAGTAATCCAAATTCTGTGTTGATTAATATCTTATTCATCACACAACAACTGTTTCCCAACTGGGCTGCCAAGATACACACTCTTTCATGTCATTCTTGCTGCTCTCAGAAACTCCACCTCAATGACTTCCTTTTATCTTACTCAAGTCTTATGGGAGGACCTGCAAGTCCCACGTGATCTGGTCCTCACTACCTCTTGGATCAGTTTCAAAATGCTCTCAACTGTTCACTCAACTGGAGCCGCACTGCCCCCTGTTGTTTCTTACACAGGCCAGCTTACAGTCTCTCCTGGGAGAATTTTATTTGTACTGTTTAGAATTCCTCTTTCTTCCAGACAATCCTACAGCTTGTTCCTCACCTTTGGGTCTCTGCTCAAATGTCACCTTGCATTGCAAAGTCTTCTCAACCATGCCCCTGTGCCTTAAGACCTTCCCCAAGTCACTTCTATATGACCTCTTTAGCTTTTTTCTCTGTTCTCAATATTAATTTGATATGTTTACATTGGTGTTTTTATTTTCTGTCTTATCCCACCGGTGGAATGTAAACTCCACAAGAGCAAGAATTTAGTTAAGTTCACTGTTGTATCCCCAGTGCCTGACACACGGTAGGTATGCAATAAGTATCTGTTGAATGAGTGAATAAATAGGACAAAGACTAACAGACACGAAACTTCTAACTTCATCCAGGCATATATCCTAGTATACATCAATAAACTAGCTTTTACATTTATATATCCTACATTAATATATGTCAGTCCCAAAAATTTGATCAACAAACAAACTGAATTTCTGAACCTATCAACCTCAGACTCCTGACTTTGTTGATTCCACCAAGATACCATCACTAGATGAGGCCCTAGTCTGGATGGCCAGCCAGGCTCACTCTACGACATCACTCTAACTAAAAAGAAACTCACCTGTGCACAATGGAAAGAATGCCAAGGACTGCTATAAATGCTGCAACACTTTCTGGTGAAAATTTCATTATCTAGAAGGGTTTCCAGAAAAGGTAACATTAATGAATACAAATGTATACCAGATAGAAAACTAATGCAGCTACTTGTACAATAAATATTAAATGGGCCAGAAAAAAATAAATGTAATTCATTTATAAACAAAGAATTCCTCAGAGGAAATACAACAAATCTTAACATACTAAAAATGCCTACTTATCCAGGGTTCCAGTGTGGGATATGTTACATTGGAGATACTTATCAAGAACTCAGAATCATTTTACAAATAAACATTGCAGTGATTTTTTGCATTTTATATGTATTGGTTGAAGGCTTTGATTTCTGTCTTAGTGGAGACTAGTGTCAAGGAGAAAAACTCGCTTTTTGCTCTCATTTTGGCTAGTTGCTCTATTTACATATGCTCCAAAATCACAAAGAAGTTGAGCAGGTGAAGGGTTAAATCATCCCATCACTTACAACCAAACAAATAAATCAAACCACCTATATGGACAGGGAAAACTATCTTTCTTAGACAGAAATAAGCTAAATCCTAATATACCAAATACTCCCATAAGAAATGCACAAGGAACATCAGCCACATGAACAGGAGGTTAAGTCTAGTGGACTAATGGTATTCTTTTTTTTTTTTTTTTTTAATTTTGAGACAGAGTTTTGTTTTTGTTACCCAGGCTGAGTGCATGGCGTAATCCGGCTGACTGCAGCCTCCGCCTCCCAGGTTCAAGTGATTCTCCTGCCTCAGCCTCCCGGGAAGTAGCTGGGATTACAGGTGCCCGCTACTACGCCTGGCCAGTTTTTGTATTTTTAGTAGACACAGGGTTTTGCCACAAGGCCAGGCTGGTCTCAATCTCCTACACCTCAGGGGATTCGGCCCACCTTGGCCTCCCAAAGTGCTGAGATTACAGGCGTGGGCTACTAAGTGCCAAGCCCAATGATATTCATCTTTGAAGGCTACTTTCTATTATAGCTTCAAGATTCGGTGTTTTATAAAGCACTGACAATGAAGGAAAAGTCCTCTCAGTGGAAGAGGATTTACCTGTCTGAGGTATAGAAAAAGCTGGAATATTGGCCTGCCTCCGGTAGGTGGTGGAGAGAAACACCGTGATGCAGATGAGCAGCACTATGGAATCTTTGGCCACTTTTTTAAGTGACTCAGAACAAGAAAAGACTGATTGATATAAGGTTTTATGTCAAAACCACTGAACTGTTCTTAGAATACGCAGAGATTCCTTTGCAGTGTACATTTGAGGACAATTAGTTGTCCTTTTAGTTTACTTATATTCCCCAAACTATTCTTAAAAAGATTTCAATGTTAAAAGAAAAATCCAAGATGTTTTCCCCAAAAGAAATATCTATAACAAAATATGAATGCTGCACTGAATCATGTACTTTTTATCAAGGAGAAGAAAAGGTATAATCCATCATGAAAAGGGTCAGCTTGTTCCCAGGAAATGGGTGTTCTGCAGGATGCTGGCCGCATCTTCTCAGGCAACGACTCTGGCACAGCAACAAGGATAAAACAAATATCTAGCAAAAAGCCATTGCCAGAGTTAAGACCACCACCAAGCTGTCCCCATATACTGCCCAAGATAAGCTCCAATTGCAGGACTGGTGACTAAACTGCAGCAGGCAAATGCTGCTGAAACCTGCACAAATTAAGGATAGATAGAGATTAGTCAGTTACCTTTTTCTTCAACACCACATAACTCCTTTCTCTACAATCCCATTTATGTCAGAACTTCTGCTGCACACCCTCCTTTCTTCCTACCTGTATCATTTATCTTTTTTTTTTTTGTGGGGCAAGAGGGCTGGAGCTGGGTCTTGCTCTGTCACAGGCTGGAGTACAGTGGTGCCACTTGCCTACAGTAGTCTTGATCTCTCAGGCCTAAGAGATCTTCCTGCCCGAAGATCTCCTGATGGGGCTACAGGCACACAACACCATGCCCAGCTAATTTGTATATTTTTTTATAGAGATGGGAAGTCTCACTATGTTGCCCAGGTTAGTCTCGAACTCCTGAGCTTCGGGGCGATCCTCCCTGAATTCCCTCTCAGCCTCCACAAAGTGCTAGGAGTACAGGTATGAGACACTGCCTGGCCCCACTTTTCTTATACTTTGACAGGAAAGTGAATTAGATTCTTGCCTAAAAAACAGCCTGGGCAACATGGAGAAATCCTGTCTGTACAAAAACAAAAAGAAAAAATTAGTTGGCTGATGGTGGTGTACTTGTAGTCCCAGCTGCTTCAGAGGCTGAGGTGGCATAATTCCTTTGAGCCAGAAAGGCGGAGGTTGCAGTGAGCCACGAGAGCACCACTGCACTCCAGCCATGGTGACAGAGTGAGACCCCCATCTCAAAAATAAATATAGCCTCTCAGACACTGTCTTCAAACTTCTAAGCCTTGAAGCCCTCTGTTCCAATAAATCCTATTGGCAAATTCATAAGTAAAACAGATTGTTTAAGAAGACTGGGTGTGGTGGTTCATGCCTGTAATCTCAGCACTTGGGGAGGTTGGCAGGGAGGACTGCTTGAAGCCAGAAGTCTGTGACCAGCCTACAACAGAGCAAGACCCCAATTTCATTTAAATTGTTTAACTCTTTTTAGTTGGAGGAAAGGTTGAGGGCTCAAAATGTACAAACGCCTCCGTGACTGTCAGTCCTGCTAACCTAGGGGGAGGGGGTGTCCAATCTTGATTTCCTGGGCCACACATATAAAAATACACTAACACTCAACAATAGCTGATGAGCTTAAAGGAAAAAATCGCATAATGTTTAAGCAAGCTTATGAATTTCACAAGCTGGGTGCGCAGGCTGTGGGCCACGGGTTGGACAAGCTTGCTTTAGGGCATCTCCATAAACCCTTAAGGGCTCTCTGTGAAAGGAGTCTAAAACCCACTGCACTAAGGAAATCCAATTTCATTGTGACTTTTCCAATATTAAAATTAAATGAACTTTTATCTTGATACATACTGAAGGGCTAGCTGAAATAAAGCTTAAAGACTTCTGATGTCTTCTTCATCAATAATATGTTAAGCCCTGGAACAAAACTGAACTTGGTAATCTTTTTAGTTGGCAGGGTTAGGAAGAATGAAATCACAGATAAATTAAGAACATCTCTAAAACTGAGGAAGTCTGTTTTTTTAAGCCTGGTGAAGATGAAGATTGTGCTGAAATGACACAAGCAGATAAACCTGTTAACCTCAGACATTTCTAGCCTACTGGACAACAGCCTACAAATTAGCAGATGTGACAGCAGGTAAGCCACTTCCTAAAAATAGCACCTTTAGGCACCTGCCTATATTCCCAGCTACTCAGGAGGCTGAGGTGGGAGATCACTTGATCCCAAGAGTGAGTCCAGTCTGGGCAACATAGTAACACCCTGTCTCGAAGGAAAGAGGAAAGGAAAGAAAGGAAAAGGAAAGAGAAAGGAGAAAGAAGAGGAGCGGAGAGAAGAGGAAAGGAGAGGAGGAGAAAGGAAAAGGGGAAAGGGAAGAGAAAAGGGGAAGGAAAGGGTTAAAAAAGGGAAAAGGTAAGGAAAAGGGGAAAGGGGAAGGGAAAAGAAAAGGAAAGAAAGAAAAAGAAGGGAAGGAAAGGAAAAGGAAAAGGAGGGGAAAGGGAAAGGCAAGGAAGGGAAAGGAAAGGAAAAGGGAAGGGATAGGAAAGGGAAAAGGAAGGAAAGGAAAGGAAAAGGAGGGAAGGAAAGGGAAAAGGAGGGGAAAGGAAAGGGAAAAGGAGGGAAAGGAAAGGGAAAGGAAAGGGAAAAGGGAAGGGAAAGGAAAGGGAAAAGGGAAGGGAAAGGAAAGGCAAAAGGGAAGGGAAAGGAAAGGGAAAAGGGAAGGGAAAGGAGAAACGTGAAAGTGAAAAGGAAAGGGGAAAGTGAAAGTGAAAAGTTGAAAGGGGAAGGGAGGGGAGGGGGAAGGGAAGGACAAAGGAAAGAGAAAGGAAAGGAAAAGGATCATATTCTTTCAAAACATAATTGGGAGATTAATGTTGAATTTTATTCTGTTTCTATGCCATTTTGACTTTTGGATGGAGAACTTAAACTCTACAAGAATGCTTACTTGCAACCCCATTGCTTAAGGCAAGCAATTCAATTTTCAAAGGTCAACTATTTGAACAAATACATAAAATTATAGTAATTTCAAACATCTAGCTATCAACCAAATGTCTATCAATCCTGTGAATGGATAAGAATATACTACACAGCAATCAAAAACTACTGGCTAGGTGTGGGGGGTAGTGGTCACGCCAACTGAAAGCACTTTGGGAGGCTGAGACGGGTGGATCACTTGAGTTTAGGAGTTTGAGACCATCCTGGGCAACATGGTGAAACTCCATCACTACAAAGCATACAAAAATTAGTCGTCCCAGCTACTCGGGAGGCTGAGGTGGGAGAATCACTGGAGGCAGGGAGGCAGAGGGAGAGAGAGGCTGCAGTGAGCTGTAACAGCACCACTGAGGCTCCAGCGTGGCAAGAGAGCAGACTCCTGTCTCAAGAAGAAAAAAATTAGCTGGGCATGGTGGATCACGCCTGTGGTCTCAGCTGCTTTGGAGGCTGAGGCAGGAGGATAGCTTGAGCCCAGGAAGCCAAGGCTTCCGTGAGCCGTGATCATGCCATTGCACTCCAGCCTGGGCAGTGATAGAGCAGAATCTCTGTCTCAAAAAAAAAAATAAAAAAGAGAAAAACAGAACCTATTGATCTACAGCATCGATATGAATAAACCCCAAAAGATTATGCTAAGGAGAAGCTAGACACAAAAGATGTTTTTGTATTATTTAATTTATACAGTTTCTAGAAAAGGCAAACCATGGTGATGAAATCTAAATTGTTGGTTGCTTGGGGTCATAGGAGCATAGAGAGATGGCAAACAGGGCTAAGGGAACTGTTCTATAACTGGGTTGTGGTGGTTTTTTAAACAGTATTTAATACATTCACCGTGGCTCACGTCTGTAATCCCAACACTTTGGGAGGCTGAGGCAGGAGGATCACAAGGTCAGGAGTTCAAGACAAGCCTGGCCAATATGGCGAAACCCTGTCTCTACCAATGGCATGTAGGAGGAGTGCCTGTAGTCCCAGCTACTTGGGAGGCTGAGGCAGGAGAATCATTTGAACCCAGGAGGCGGAGGTTGCAGTGAGCCAAGATCGCACTCACTGCACTCCAGCCTTGGGTGGACACAGTGAGACTTATCCTGAATAAAACAAAGCAACAAAAAAAATACACACACACACATACATATAGATATATGTATTCACATGGTGGCTATTTTGTTATTGCAGCCCTGGTGTCGTTTCAGAGGGACCTAGATCTCAGCAGGGCTCTGGCACAAGTGTGGGGAAAGGGATAATGGTTCTCACTATGAGGGTCACTGAAAACATTTGAGGGCACTTACAGAGATCACATTTGCGATACAGTGAGCAAAAGTCAGAGTATAGTTGAGCCTTAAGGTCATTTCCCTTCTCCTCAGTTCTCCCCACTTGGTAGCCATTCCTTTCTGCTCAGAAAAAGACCAAACGATCACCCTACACCCCCAACCCTCTTTTTTCAGAGACAGGTCTCACTCTGTGGCTCATGCTGGAGTGCAGTGGTGCGATCACAGCTCACTGCAGTTCAACCTCCCCAGGCCCAAGTGATGCTCCCACCTAAGCCTCCCAAGTAGCTGGGACTACAGGCACACACCACCACACCTGGCTAATTTTTAAAGTTTCTGTATAGATGGGGTCTCACTCTGTTGCCCAGACTAGTCTCAAACTCCTGGGCTCAAACAATCCTCCTGCCTCAGCCTCCCAAAGCGCTGGGATTACAAGCCACTGCACTCGGCCTCTACCTTTTTTTTTTTTTTAAGACACAAGGTCTCGCTCTCGTACTCCAGACTGGGAGGGTAGTGGCATGATCATAGCTGCAGCCTCAAACTCCTGGCCTCAAGCAATCCTCCTGCCTTGGTCTCCCAAACCGGTGGTATTACAGGCACATGCCACTGTGCTCGGCCACTTCCCCATGTTTTTTCTGCATCCATATTATTTCTAGAAGATTTTAAGTTTCCTTTTTTTTTTTTTTTTTCCCAGAACATGTCTTAATACACAGAATCTCCAGATTGAAACTGTTAATTTCAAAACTTTACAGGTGGAAAACAAATTATTTCAGTCAAAAAACAAACCCCAAATTGGGTTACAGTGTTGTTTGCACAACTGTATAAATTTACTAAAATTCACTGAACTACACTCACAAAAAGGATAAATTTTATGGTATATAAACCATAGCTTAATTAGACGATTTTAAAATCCCCACATCCAGTCTCGTATCATTTAATGTCTAAATTACAACTGAAATTATTAGTTCTTTTTCTTTTTACTTTTTTTTTTTTTTTTAAATAGAGACAAGGTTTCACCATGTTGGCCAGGCTGGTCTCGAACTCCTGATCTCAAGTGATCTGCCTGCTTTGGCTTCCCAAAGTGCTGAGATTACAGGTGTGAGTCACCAAACAGGCCAGAAATCATTAGTTCTTTTTCTAAGTTTCTCTCTATAGGTTTTTCCTTCCCATAAATCTTATGATTCTTCATTATAATGTCCTTTGAATCAGAAATCAGTCCCTTTTAAAACTAATTCAGCCCAACACAATATTCGTCCTTATTTATCAAAAATATTTGTCTCACATTTACTGAAATGCATCATCGTCCTATTTCAGGCTATTCAGAAGTGATCTATTATGGTGCCTATAGTAATCATTCTATTAGTAGGCTTTTTTCCTTTAATTCCAGATTTGATAGATGACAGATACTGCTTACAATTTGTTTGCCAAAAGAGTGTTAAGGAGCGCAAACTACCACTATGCATAAAATCTGCCAAGTGGTTCTGCATGCCTAAAGAGTTGATCAACATAATACACATGCAAAACAAAAGAATGGAAATAGAGACTATATGTGGCCCACAAAGCCACAAAAAAAAGGTTTGCAGATCCCTGAGCTAGATGTTAGCCTGTTGTATTCTAGATTAGACATTAAGTGAGTAGTGACTTTTTTAAACTCTTGACATACTAAATAATTGTTATTTTTAGGATGCTGTTAAAAAGAACTCTACAAGGTAAAATATACTATAATTTCAATTCTGATATGTGACTTATAAATATCTCCTGAATGAAAAGTATCAAAACTTACATAGCCTCACAGTACAAAAAAATTTTAAATGTAGTCTAATGAATGATTTTATTACAAAATATATTTTATGCAAAAATCTTATAATGCAAAAGTTTGCACTCCTTATATCTACCTTAAAAACAAGGCATTTCTCAGCAGGTACAAAAGGTATAGAATAAACACACATACCAGTCCATAAGCCATACTTCTTTCATGCTCTTGAGTTATATCTGCTACGTATGCAAATACCACAGAAAAAGTCACTGCAAAAACCCCGGAAACAGAGATAACAGCAAAGTACCACCTAGGAATGAAAGATAACAAGAAATGGTTAGAGCAATTACCATTATTTTAATCTTTCATTTTTATAAGTTAATTAAGAGTAAGAGCAGCTCATGTCAGTCAACAGCTTACTAGGATAGTTCATGGATTGACTCTTCCATAAACATAAGCCACAGATATTATGAAAACATAGGGCTACAAGGAGCTCTTTAATAGCAGCTCAGTTACTCTATAGGAATACTTAAAATTAGATCATGTATTCAGGCAAATCTTTTGACCAACTATTGAATTGTTAAGTGGTTTTGTTTTTACTGCCAAAAACAGCAGCAAACTAAAGTATATTATAATCCATCCATTACTGTTTTTCATCACTAGACAAAAAACAAAATCCAGTAAACAAGACTGAGGAACAAGTTTCTTCATATTTATCTTGAGCCTCTATATAGTAACTAAATGTTTTCCATAAGTTATCTTTAGCTTTTCAAATGCTGGCAAAATAAATAACTCAGTTTCACGAAGAAAAAACCTATATGGCAGTGTCCAGTGTTAATAAAACTGAGAATAGACAGTTACTATAAAGAGTGAACAAAATATTTAAAAAGCAAATTATATTTTGCTATAAATAATTCCAAAATATCTAGCTAGGAATAAGAAGTTTCTATTGTAATACTGATGTTTAGTTTCTGAAAATCATATATGATCATAATGAACTTTCAAAATATCATTTCACCAAGACTATGACTACTAAAATTTTTCTAACACACCACTTAACACAGCAAATTCTTTGTTCATTCTATGTTCAATCTTTGGTAAGATTTCATGTGCATGAGCGGCCTTCATCAAAGGCTTAGTCTATTAGAGTTGTACCTCATCTACAAGAAGAAGATCCTGCCCCACATAAACCTGTGGGCTGTTGTAGATAACACCATGGAAATAAAGTCCATCCATGATGTAGAACTAACTAACATTAATACTAAGTGGAGTAAAAAGAACATTAGTCAGAATAAATCTACAACCAAATTGGGCTCTGACTTTAGGACAATTATTCCCTTTTTGTTAGCTTTCCTTCCCTTGCCTCCTGAATGAAACAAAAAAACTGATTTTAATCAAGGTGGCCTTGAGTCCAGCCTCTTGTAACTAGGAGCAGCATATCCCTGAAATCTGACCAAAGAAATGCAAGCAGAGATGGGATGGGAATTCTGTAAAGTTTCCTTAAAAGAAGGCGATGTGCTCTTCTTAGCAACTCCTTCCACCTTGCTCTCAGTAGTATGACTTGATGGCTGGAGCTCAAGAAGCCACTTTGTTCAATGAGGTGAGAGATAAGGATGTAAGAACAGCAAGACAGAAAAAGTCCGCTCCACTGGAACTGCCACACCAGCTCCAGACTGCTCAACTGCAGGTGTTTTTTCACATGAAAAGAGAAATAAACTTGATTTTTAAGCAACTATTATTTTGGGTTTTGATATGTAACAAAATCTATTCCTAACTAATATAGATAATGACAAACTTTGTATCTGTTTTTTAACATTCTATATAAGAAAAAAAGTTAGCAATCCTATCCAGTCCCTAAAATATTGTTTTGAAATTTGGGTTCTGGAATCCAAAATTAAGTTAGCCAGAAGTCTAGATGCCTCCAACAGGGTCATCTATTTCTAAAATCTTTATGAACTATTACCTACTATATTTTTAGAAGCCTTCTTATCTGTGTGAAAGAATAAATGTATTAGAAAAATAAAATTAAAACCTCATAACCAAGATTGCCCAAGTGAAAGAAATAAAGGAACATTAAGAAAACAATAACTGAAAGTGATATTTAGTTGCTATAATCCAAATGTGCACGTACCATGGGCTGATCTTCATTAAAGGAATTGGGGCACATGTGAAAAATACTGTTAGCAGCAAGAAGGATTTTCGGCCCCAAACATCAGAAAGAGCACCAATAAGCGGGGCACTAAGGAATGACAACAAACCCTAAAAGAATTAAATGAAAAAAATGAAAACCACACATCTACAAACATGAACCAAAAATAAATAATTTTACTCCTATAGAAAAATTTTCAACAACTTTGCTTCTAAAGTAAATATATCACAAACTTTTAAATAAATAATGAATTGCTTATCTATACATAATTTTAAAATTTTCCAAGACAGTTTAAAATCATCTGTAGGGCTCCAGGTAGGTATTAAATACGAACTTCTCTAATAAATTCTCAATCACAATAAATCCACAATAGCAATTCCATATGCTAATTTCCTGTGTATGTATGTATATATACATATGTATGTATGTTCGTGCATGTGTGTGTGTGTGTGTATCAACAGACTAATTATCTGTTTAGAAAATTTGTTTGTCAAACTGAATCAAGAGTAAAGAATCTGAGCGGGGCATGGTGGCTTGCACCAATAATCTCAACACTTTGTGAGGTCAAGGGCAGATCACTTAGGTCAGGAGTTCGAGACCAGCCTGGCCAACATGGCAAAACCCTGTCTCTACTAAAAATACAAAAAATTAGCTGAGTGTGGTGGCATACGCCTGTGGTCCCAGCTACTTAAGAGGTTGAGGCATGCCGGGCGCGGTGGCTCAAGCCTGTAATCCCAGCACTTTGGGAGGCCAAGACGGGCGGATCACGAGGTCAGAAGATCGAGACCATCCTGGCTAACACGGTGAAACCCCGTCTCTACTAAAACTACAAAAAAACTAGCCGGGCGAGGTGGCGGGCGCCTGTAGTCCCAGCTACTCGGGAGGCTGAGGCAGGAGAATGGCATGAACTCGGGAGACGGAGCTTGCAGTGAGCTGAGATCCGGCCACTGCACTCCAGCCTGGGCGACAGAGCGAGACTCCGTCTCAAAAAAAAAAAAAAAAAAAAAAAAAAAAAAAAAAAAAAAAAAGAGGTTGAGGCAGAAGAATCGCTTGAACCTGGGAGGTAGAGGTTACCAGTGAGGCTGAGATCATGCCACTTGCACTCCAGCCTGGAGTGACAGTGTGAGACTCTGCCTCCAAAAAAAAAAAAAAGAAAGAAAAAGAAAAAAAAAAAAAAAAGAAAGAAAAAGAAAAAGAGCAAAGAATTCATATAATAACTAACTCTTTACCCTACTGATACAGTTTTGTATTGATGGGGGGTTTTGAGTATAGTTTTCTTCCTCTTCAATCTGTAGTCTTACAAAATCATTGAGATCTCTGGAATTAAAATGCCAACATAAAAACAGGGAATCTGTTATGATGTGGTTTATTATTTTACACAATTGGCGATACTGTAGTTAGATCGAATTTAAAACTCAAGTCTAGAAAGTATTAAGATATCTCTCACAATATACTCCATCTAATTATAAAAATTAAGTTGTTAATCAATAAACAAACATATATTGGCATAGTTATAGATACATAAGTATTTATGTATGTTCATCTGTGTGCATGTATATATATGTATGACTGATCCTACCTTTACTCCTTGAATTAAGCCATTCATCAGAAATGTATGTTTAGGGAAGGTTTCATGTAATACCTAAAGAAAAAAAAACAAAATAAAAATCACACGCTATATTTCAGTCTTAATAAAATTTCCATATTTACCTTTTTGAACATCCTTTCATACTACAATCTATTTTACATATTCAGATTTGCATGACATGCATATGACCATTAATAATCATCTATTTATACGGTACTTACTATGTCACAGGGCACTAAATTGGGCACTTTACATATATTATCTCATTTAATCCCTCATAACAACCCTATCAGAAAACTGATATGCAGAGGTTAAACATCTTGTCTAAGACTACATTCAGTAGGTAAATGGCAAAGCTGAAACTGAACCTAGGAGATCAGACTTGAAAGCCTATGCTTTTACTCACTATGCTATGATGCTTCCTCAAAATAACTGACTTATATTTCTCTTTCAGATGGATATATTATCTGGGATAGGAGATTGGGAAAATTAATAAGGAATTTTTAATTGCCACAAAGTAGATCAAGAAAGATTCTATAAAATAAGAAAAAAATCCCAACCTATGAAAATGTATAACAAGTTATTCTATCCTTTCCAAGGCTTGTTCTCAAATCATGTGGTATCGTTTTTTTTGCAGTGGGCAGCAGGAGAACCATTGGAATGCGTCGACTGAAAAGGCAATTCCAGGCAATTGGAAAAATAAACAGCAGCTACCATTTTTACAGCCTATATGTACTCTTATTTAATCCCAACATTGTGAATTAGATAATATTATCACTTTACAGATGAGGCAACTGAGTTCCTGTTTGACTTAGAAACTAATGCTTCCATTATCCAATGCTATCTCTCAGTAAAAACAATAGAGAATGGGAATGTGGGTAACAAGAAAGGTAGGGAAGGCTTTCCCTTTAAGAAGAAACACTATGCTAAATATACTTTCTGACATGTTGCAAGAAGAACCTTTGGAGGGATCAGAGTTGCTCCCCTTTCTTCAGTGATCCTTCTTCTGCCAATAGCAAGAAATTTAACAAAAATGTGCTCATTGGAAGTAAAAATAAAATTAGAGGCCAGGTGTGGTGGCTCACGCCTGTAATCCCAACACTTCGGGAGGAAGAGGAGGATGGATCACCTGAGGTGGGAGTTCGAGACCAGCCTGGCCAACATGGCGAAACCTCATCTCTACTAAAAACACAAAAATTAGCCAGGCATGATGGCGGGTGCCTGCAATCCCAGCTACTCGGGAGGCTGAGGCAGGAGAATCACTTAAACCCGGAGGGCTAAGGTTGCAGTGAGCCAAGATCATGCCACTGCACTCCATCTTCAGCAACAGAGCGATACCCTGTCTTAGGGAAGAAATGAAAAAAGTCTTAGACTGTATGTAAATGAATGGGTTTGACTGTGTTCTAATAAAATTTTATTTATAAAAATAGTATGTGATCTCCAGGACCCTGGACTGGGCAAAGATTTCTTGATAATACTCCACGATCACAGGCCGCCAAAGTGAAAACGGACAAATAGGATCACATCAAGTTTAAAGCTGCACAGCAAAGCAAACAAGAAAGTGAAGAGACAACCCACAGTATAGGAGAAAACATCTGCAAACTATCCATCTGACAAGGGATTAATAATGAAAATGTATAAGGGGCTCAAATTATTCTATCAGAAAAGAATCTAAGAATCTAATAATCTGATTTTTAAAAATGGGCAAAAGAACTGAATAGACATTTCTCAAAAGAAGACATACAAGTGACCAATAGGTATACGAAAAAATGCTCAACCATCACTGATCATCAGAGAAATGAAAATCAAAACTACAGTGAAATATCATCTCACCCCAGTTAAAAATGGCTTTTATCCAAAAGATAGGCAAGGATGTGGAGAAAAGGGAACACTCGTACACTGTTGGTGGGAATGTAAATTAGTACAATCACTATGGAAAACAGTTGGAAGTTTCCTCAAAAAACCTAAAAATAGAGCTACCATATGATCCAGCAATCTCACTGCTAGGTATATATCGCCCCGCCCACCCTCAAAAAAAGGAAATCAGTATATCAAAGAGATATCTGTACTCCTATGTTTACTGCAGCACTATTCCTTTGTTTGTTTGAGACGGAGTTACGCTCTTGTCGCCCAGGCTGGAGTGAGATGGCGTTATCTCGGCTCACTGCAACCTCCGCCTCTAAGGTCCAAGTGATTCTCCTGCCTCAGCCTCCTGAGTAGCTGGGATTACAGCGTGCACCACCACGCCTGGCTAATTTCTGTATGCAGCACTATTCTTAATAGCTAAGGTTCGGAAGCAATCTAAGTGTCCATCAACAGATGAATGGAAGGATAAAGAAAATGTGGTACTTATACATACAGAAAAAGAATGAGATCCTGTCATTTGCAACAATATGGATGGAACTGGAGGTCATTATGTTAAGAGAAATAAGCCAGGCACAAAAAGAGAAACTTCACATGTTCTCACTTATTTGTGAGAGCTAAAAATTACAACAATTGAACTGATGGCGATAGAGCAGAATGATGGTTACCAGAGGCTGGGAAGGGTAATGGGGGAAGGAGGGGATGGTTAGTGGGCACAAAAAAATAGAATAAGATCTAGTACTTAATAGGCTAACAGGTTGACTATAGCCATCATTTATTCTACATTTTAAAATAACTAAAATTGGGCCAGGCGTGGTGGTTCACACCTGTAATCCCAGCACCTTGGGAGGCCGAGGCGGGCAGATCACAAGGTCAAGAGATCGAGACCATCCTGACCAACATGGTGAAACCCCATCTCTACTAAAAATACAAAAATTAGCTGGGTGTGGAGGCTCATGCCTGTAATCCCAGCTACTTGGGAGGCTGAGACAAAAGAATCACTTGAACCCAGGAGGCGGAGGTTGCAGTGAGCCAAGATTGCACCATTGCACTCCAGCCTGGTGACAGAGCAAGGCTCCGTCTCAGAAAAACAAAAAACAAAACAAAACAAAACAAAACCTAAAATTGGACTGTTTACAACACAAAGAAACGATAAATGCTTGAAATGATGGATACCCCATTTACCCTGGTGTAATTATTACATCTGTATGCCCGTATCAAAATATCTCATGTACCCCATAAATATAATACCCTACTATGTACCCACAAAAATAAAACATGTTATTTAAAAATAAAAAAGGAAAAATGGCAGGCCCTCTCTAATTGAAAAGAATTATTGGGAGGTCTTTGAGAAACTCCTAGTTCTTTTTAGAGTTCTACTGCACGCATTAACTAAGTAGCAGTTTATGATAAGTGACAATTAGGAAAAAGTTCAATTCAACATACTTGTGAAAAGGAATATAAACACACACACACACACAGAGAAAGCTACCAGAAGCAACTACAAAAAAAAAAAGAGTGCAAAAAAGATTTAGTCCTCTAGCCATATTTTGCCAGTCCTTGTGCTAAAGGGTAAGATTTAAACTCCTTAAACTAGTATCTCAAACTTTTTATGGGACTCAAATGTATTATGCTTTTCTTTCAATAATGACAAAGGGCCTACTGCAAGCCAAATCTTTCTAGGTATGAAGAACAGGTTTGGTGTTAGAAAGAATGAAGAACATTATAAACGTCTGTAAGAAGTTTTATACTATGCTAGATCTTATCGCTAATGATTCACTTTGCCAAGCTATATTCCATTCCAATCAATCTGTTCTCCTTGCTGTTTCTGAAATATTCTACACTTTCCAATATTCATATTTTATATATGACATCCTTTCAATTTTGAATGTTTCTTCCCTTTCTTTATCTAGTCAACCCCCAACCCTTCCAAACTGTTCCTCTGCTACCTTTCTTCTCCAAAGCAATTTCTCCTTTGCAGCCATACAATTTCTAATAAAATTTTAACAGACAAATATAACAAGTAATTCAAATGTTGTAAAGATTTTTGATGTCAGGATTCTTTAGCACTGGTCTTTAGAGGTGAACAGAGAAAATGTAACATTTTTCTAAATAATCCTTAAAATGTTAAACGCTTTGGGGCTGTTTCTGTAGCCAAGGACACGAAACCATCTAGGTAGAAGAAATGCTAGTGGATTTTGAGTGTTCCGTAACATGGACTGTGCATCTAGCAGCTTGAATCATCAAATACACTGGCCTATTATTTCCAGAGCCATAGGTCTGTCAAAAGGGTAAAGCCAGCCAGGCACAGTGGCTCATGCCCGTAATCCCAGCACTTTGGGAGGCCGAGGCGGGAGGATCATTTGAGGTCAGGAGTTTGAGACCACCCTGGCCAACAAGGCGAAATCCCGTCTCTACTAAAAAACAAAAAATTGGATGGGGTGGTGGCTCACGCCTGTAATCCCAGCACTTTGGGAGGCCAAGGTGGGTGGATCACAAGGTAAGGAGTTCAAGACCAGCCTGACCAAGATGGTGAAACCCTATCTCTACCAAAAATAAAAAAATTAGCCGGGCATAGTGGCAGGTGCCTGTAATCCCGCCTATTTGGGAGACTGAGCCAGAGAACTGCTTGAACCTGGGAGGCGAAGGTTGCAGTGAGCCGAGACAGCGACACTGCATTCCAGCCTAGGTGACAGAGTGAGACTCTGTCTCAAAAAAAATAATAAAAAAAATAATTAGCTGGGTGTGGTGACGCGCACCTGTAATTCCAGCTACTGGGGAGGCTGAGGCAGGAGAATCTCTTGAACCTTGGAGGCGGAGGTTGCAGTGAGCTGAGATCATGCCATTGCACTCCAACCTGGATGACAGATTAAGACTCCGTCTCAATGAAAAAAAAAGAAACAAAAACGGTAAATCCGCTCCTTGGCATTACAGATCCTTACACCTACTGTCATTCTCATTACTTAGCTAATATGTTACATAATCAAGCAATGAACACTGATTCTGACAGAACATCTACTATGACAAACTATATATTCATACCCTCTCAAAAGTGTTAGACTTCAATCTTTAAAAACACTTGTCAGTACAAAATTCTTTTTAGCTAAATCCCCTTGTTGGTAGAGGCTCACCATCTTCCCCTTGGCAGGTCTTCCATAAAACACAGCTTTTGTTTTTTGACTGTTCTATAAGAGCTTAAAAGTGAAAGATAATTGCAACATAGTTTTTTTTATCTTAAAATGTCACATTAGTTTTTAAAATTAAGAAATTAAGGCTATGATAAATCCCAAGCCAGACATTCAAAATTAATATGTCTAAAACTGGTTATCTGATTTTAAAAAATACGTTAAAGAATATCTTTGAAATCTGAAATGCTGAAACAAACTATAACTTTTGAGGGAGGGACGGGGAAATGAAAGATACTGACTTAAAATACAAATTAAATTATGTCTTCATCCTCATTTCCTTTTAAAATGAATGTTAGAAACTTTGACTCTTGTGGCATGCACCATTTATAATCAGTTTCAAAACACATAAAACAGAAATGAAATGTTTAAAGATTAACAGACTTTTAAGAGGAGAGCCTTCTTTTACCCTGAAACCCACCTCTTTACACACCTGGGGAAGAGTGGGAGGAGTACTGGAGCCCAAAAGAAAGGCTGCCAACAAAAGCAACAATAACAAAAAACAAAATTTGTAAGCAAAAAGCCTTGAAATGAGTAAAACCTTTTTAAAAAAGCCCATACTGAATTAATACATTGTTCTTAATTAGTGACATATACTAAATATGTAACAGGGTAACTTCTAAAAAGTAGATACGCCAGGCTGGACATGGTGGCTCACGCCTATAATCCCAGCGCTTTGGGAGGCCGAGGCAGGGGGATCACCTGAGGTCAGGAGTTCAAGACGAGCCTGGCCAACGTGGTGAAACCCCGTCTCTACTAAAAATACAAAAATTAGCCTGGCATGGTGGCACATGCCTATAGTCCCAGCTACTTGGGAGGCTAACGCAGGAGAATTGCTTGAACCTGGGAGGTGGAGGTTGCAGTGAGCCAAGGTTGCACCACTGCACTCCAGCCTGGGCAACAGAGTGAGACTCTGTCTCAAAATAAATAAATAAAATAAAATAAGAAAACACAGAAAAATTAAAGATAATAAGAATACATTGGCCAGGCACAGTGGCTCACACCTGTAATGCCAGCACTTTGGGAGGCCAAGGCGGGCAGATCACGAGGTTACGAGATCGAGACCATTCTGGTCAACATGGTGAAATCCCATCTCTACTAAAAGTACAAAAATTAGCTGGGCATGGTGGCACGTGCCTGTAGTCTCAGCTACTAGGGAGGCTGAGGCAGGAGAATTGCTTGAACCTGGGAGGCAGGGGTTGTAGTAAGCCAAGATTGTGCCTCTGCACTCCAGCCTGGTGACAAAGCGAGACTCCGTCTCAAGAAAAAAAAAAAGGAATACATTAAGCACAACATTAGTCTATGAAAAATGAATAAACGAGCCTTTCTAATTAAGGGGACCCTTCCTTGTTCTTAAAAAAGATAGCCTCCCTTTGTCCAACTAAGAAAAAAAAGTACCAAAATTACACAGAAGATGACATACCTAAAAAAATGTAAACGAGAAGCAAATTTTAAAAATAGCTATATACACTTGAAATACTGATAACAAATTATGGAAACATCACAAAATGCTTTTTTTCACAGCTTGCTAACAGCTCATCCACATTTTGATCACCCTACTTAGCTAATGGTTGGGCTGCCTCATAACCTCAACTATCTAAAACATCGGTACAAACCAGTTACTACCTGCATTCCCCAAAAGACTGACCACTGGAGGAGTCAAGGAAGCCTAGGTGCAAATACCAACACTGCAGCTTACTGTCAGAGTAGCAATCACAGTGCTTAACTTTTCTAAGCCCCGGCTTCCTCATCTGTATTATGAGGCTAATATCTCACTGATAAGGTGGTTGTGAGGGTTAAAAATGATAATGTATTCAAAGTGGAATACGTTAGGACCGTGCCTAACATAGTCCACTTTGAATACATTAAAGGACTGTGCCTGGATCCATCATAACATAAATACACGTGGACTGTTTACTATTACAAAGCTCAAGTACTTTAAATGGTAGGAGTGATGATCTACCAGACAGATTTATATGTTAAATTGACAACTTATAAAAAGCATACTGGCACACTAAGAAAGCTAATGTAAAGTCATGAGTCCACAAAGTTATTACAGCACTTCAGTAACCCTTGACAACAAACAGGCTATTACAATTCAATGAAGTTATGAATGTCATAAACAACTTGCATCATCTGAGGAAGTTCCAAATCACTCTACTTGGATTACGAAGCCAGGAAATGTGTAAATTAATTTTTTAAAGATTTCTATCTGAAATTAGTAAACTAAAAAAAAAAAAACCAAAACACCCTCTGATTTTTTTATAGCAATACTCATAAATATGCTCTATATATTCAAAATGACTTTTTTTTTGAGACAGAGTCTCACTCTGTCTCCAGGCTGGAGGACAGTGGCGCAATCTCTGCTCACTGCAACCTCCGCTTCCCGGGTTCAAGAGATTCTCCTACCTCAGCCTCCCAAGTACCTTGGTTTACAATAGGCGCGCACCACCATGCACAGCTAAATTGTGTATTTTTAGTAGAGACGGGGTTTCACCATGTTGGGGTTTCACCATGTTGGCCAGGATGGTCTCAATCTCTTGATCTTGTGATCCTCCCGCCTTGACCTCCCAAAGTACTGGGATTACAGGCGTGAGCCACTGCGGCCGACTATTTTTTTTTTTTTTTTTTTTTTTTTTGAGACGAGGTTTCACTCCCGTCGCCCAGGTTGGAGTGCAGTGGCGTGATATTGGGTCACTACAACCTCCGCCTCCTGGGCTCAAGTGATTCTCCCACCTTAGCCTCCCGAGTAGCTAGAACTACAAACCTATGCCACCGCACACAACTAATTTTTGCATTTTTTGTAGAGACAGGGTTTCACCATGTTGCCCAGGCTGGTCTCAACTGCTGAGTTCAAGCGATCCGCCCCTGCCCAGCCTCCCAAAATGCTGGGATTACAGGCATGAGCAACTGTTAAACATCAATATTTTATGTGTAGATAGTAATGATTACGCAGCTGTCAATAAATATATCAAGAAATAGGCACTGTAAATATTCTTAGACTAGGTCAATCTACTTAACTTTTCTATTAAGTAACCTTTTTTATAAAAACGTTTTTTGTATAATATGAACAATCTCATGAAAACATAGTATATTACTTTAAAACTCTATTCCTCTAAGATTTGGTAAACTATATATAGAGCATATCCTAATTACTCCTTTCAAGATGGTATAGATATTTACCATAGATAGTCCTTCCCTCATTCCATTCCCCTTATCTACACTAATGTAAGAAAACTGGCTATCTTCTGAGTTGTTTGATCTGGCAGGGAGGTCTTTTCTAAGGTTTCAAACCTGGGAGAATTTGGGTAAAATCAGCTTAGATCTATTAAAGAACAGCCCTTCTAGGTACTTAGCCCACATGAACAGAAACTTGTTTTTGTAAAATACAGCTGCATAAATGAACCTCAAAGTAATTATGCCGAGTCATGCAGGTCACAGACATCATCTTTTCTAAACCTGTCAGTTTAAGAATCTCTTCCATTTTACTCAGAGTAGTGACAGGGCCTCTGCTTGAACGTGTCCAGTGACAAGTCCAAATTCACACACCTCCACGCCACTGCCCCCCTCCTCCACCAAAAAAAAAGGTAAGGGAGAGTTAACGGTTGGAAAAGACAACCAGTAAGATACTGGTGAATACTGAACAATACCGGTGGGAGAATTAACCATGCAGAGGAAAAAGGGCCACATTTTCCTCCAAAACTGAAACAAAAGAGATTTTGGAGTCAGTGTTAAATAATTTAAAAGATTACTTACCACCAAGGTGGGTGCTGTCAATAGTCCCCAAGCAAAAAACTCCAAAAAGATGACGATAACCGCATGATAAACACTAGGAGAACCTATTCCTTGAGGCTATAAAAAACAAGATTTTTTAAAAAGTTAACAATATATTCTATAATTATTAACAATAACAACGATGCAATAGTCAACAAATATTAAGAACATATATGTACTGGGCACTGTGTCAAACATCTGTACTCACTGCCTCTGGCTTCAAAGTCAGAGGGACAAGGCAACAATGAAATTCATTAGCATAAGCACAGTATTCAGCTGGAACATAGAGTCCAAGGGAGCTTGGGAGATGGGAATATCAGACTTCCAGGAGGAAGTCTGAAAGGACACAACAGAGTTAGACAGGCGGAGGTACAGGGTGGGAAAGACGGCTCAGCCTGTACAAAGGTTCCAAGGCTTGAGGCATTACGGGTCTCATGTACCGAGTTCAGTACAACCAGTGCATGGGCTGCATGTTGGGTGTACTGAAAGATGAGCTACAGGTACTCAAAGACCAGCTTCCATGCTAAGGAGTCTCTATTTAATTCTGAAGGCTATGGGGGGGCCACTAAAAGATATTAAGACTGACACAATCAGATGTAAGTTTTAAGATTATTCTGGCAAAGATGTAACCAAAAAAAAAAAAAAAAACCATAAATGAAGCAAGTGGCAAAAATATAAACACGTTATCAACATGGTTCAAAAGCAGAACAATCCCCAGGGAAAGTATGTAAGAGATTTGGGATTTGATATACATGAGAAAGAAAATACAAAATTAAGTTTATACTGCTGCCGGAGATGTCTTAAGAATCACTTCAGTATTAATGACTCCGGTGATTTCCTAAAGGATAAAATGGAGGAGCAAAGTGCATCTAAAAGGAAGCTATTTGAATCAGCTCAAACAAGAGATGAGGGCATAAAACAGTGGCACAGTACGAATGCTGGAGGGAAGGGAACGGATTAAGGATTCAGGATTTGAAATTAGGAGGAGTTTGATAAGTAGCAGAAGAGAGAATCAAGAACAACTTCCAAGTGTTTAGCTTGGTTGTCTAGCAGTTAAAGCTGGTGGCTTCCCAGCACTTTCCCCCACGAGGCTCAGCTTTACTTCAGGTCCTATCTATAAAACTGCCCTCTTTACTTGAAACATGTGTATTGTCTCTGAGCACTGATTAAAACAATTAGCAGCAAATGTGTTATCTGAAACCACCAGAGTGGATGAGATTATCAGGAGTGTCAAATGTGAAAACAGCAGTGAGCTAAGACAGAACCCCAAGAAGCGCCAACATTTTAAGTAGCAGGCAGAGGAAAAGAATGAAGTTTTTTCTTCTTTGATAAAGAAAAGAGGAAGATAAAAGGAACAGTGAGAAAAACATCAGGAGAATGAAGAGAATACAGTGTCACAGATGACAATGGAGCAGTTTCAGGAAGGAGGAGGTATCAAATGGAACAAGTACAGTAATACAAGGTCAAAAAATGGCCACAGGAGGCCAGGCATGGTGGCTCACGCCTGTAATCCCAGCACTTTGGGAGGCCGAGGGGGGCAGATTACTTGAGGTCAAGAGTTCGAGACCAGCCTGGCTAACATGGCAAAACGCCATTTTTACTAAAAATACAAAAATTAGCTGGGCGTGGTTGCGTGTGCCTATAATCCCAGCTACTCAGAAAGGCTGAAGCAGGAGAATTGGTTGAATCTGGGAGGCAGAGGTTGCAGTGAGTTGAGACTGCACCACTGCACCCCAGCCTGGGTGACACAGTGAGACTCTAGGGGAAAAAAAAAAATTGGCCACAGATTTGATAAGCTTTAAACCTGTTTTGTTTGCCATGTTCATCACCACATATACCCAGACAGTATCAGAAAGCTTGGTATAACTTCTCAGGGCTTAAAGCATGCTAATTTTTTAAAAATCAAAGTAGGATATAAAATTGTATAGGTAGGATAATTTCAACTCTGAAAAACAATACAAACTGACCTCAATGTAAATAAAATTTATACTGGGTAATGATTTTAAGTGATATAACATTGTTTACTATGCTATTCTGAATTTTCCATATCTTTTCCAATAAGCATTCTTGCACTTTAGGAGGAAAATGCTTTGTTTATTTAAGAGAAAAATTACCTAAAACTAGCATAGAGAACAACAAAATAAACTATGGGACAGTATCTCTGATGAACATTGAAGCAAAAATCCTCAACAAATACTAGCAAACCTCCTTCAGGAAGGAGATTTAAGAAAAGGTCATTCATTGGCTGGGCGCGCTGGCTCACGCCTGTAATCCCAGCACTTTGGGAGGCCGAGGTGGGCAGATGACCTGAGGTCAGGAGCTCGAGACCAGCCTGACCAACGTGGAGAAACCCCGTCTCCACTAAAAATACAAAATTAGCCACGCGTGGTGGCGCATGCCTGTAATCCCAGCTACTCAGGAGGCTGAGGTGGGAGAATCACTTAAACACAGGAGGTGGAAGTTGCAGTGAGCCAAGATTGCACCATTGCACTCCAGCCTGGGTTACAAGAGCGAAACTCTGTCTCAAAAAAATTAAAAACAAAAAAAATCATTCATTATGTTCAAGTGGGATTCTTCCAGGTATGCAAGGATAGTCCAACATACATAAATCTATCAAGGTGATAACATCATTTCAAAAGAATGAAGCCAAAAAAAAATGATCATTTCAATTGATGGCGAAAAAGCATTTACTAAAATTCAACATTGATTCATGACAAAAACTCTAAAAAATGGTATAGAAGGAACATACGTCAATACAATAAAAGCCATATATGACAGACACAGAGCTATCATGCTGAACAAGGAAAACCTGAAAGCCTTTCCTCAAAGATCTGGAACAAGACAAAGATGCCCACTTTCGTCACTCTTGACTGGAAAGAACCAACTAGAGCAATTAGGCAAGAGTAAGAAATAAAAGGCATCCAAATTAGAAAAGAGGAAATCAAACTTGTCCCTCTTTGCAGATGACATGACTTTATATAGAGAGAACCCTAAATATTCCACCAAAAACTATCAGAATGGAAGCAAATTCATTAAAGTTGCAGGATACAAAAATCAGTACCATCTCTATATGCCAACAGCAAATATCTGAAAAATAAACCAAGAAAGTAATCCCACTTACAATAGCTACAAATGAAATACCTAAGAATAAACTTAAAGAAGTGAAAGATGTCTATAATGTAGACTACAGAACATTGATGACAGGAATTGAAGAGGACACACACACAAATGGGAAGATATTTCACGTTCATAAATTGGAAGAATCAATACTGTCAAAATTTTAATACTACCAAAAGCAATCTACAGATTCGATGCAGTTACTATCAAACTACAAATGACATTCCTCACAGAATTTTTTCTTTTAAATCCTAAAACTTATATGGAACCACAAGAGTCAGAACAGCCAAAACAATCCTGAGCAAAAAGAACAAGGCTGGAAGCCGGGCACAGTGGCTCACGCCTGTAATCCCAACACTGTGGGAAGCCAAGGCGGGCGGATCACCTGAGGTCAAGAGTTCGAGACCAGCCTGGTCATCAGAGTGAAACCCCGTCTCTACTAAAAATACAAAAATCAGCCGGGCATGGTGGTGTAATCCCAGTTACTCAGCAGACTGAGGCAGGAGAATCGCTTGAACCAGGAAGGTGGGGGTTGCAGTGAGCCAAGATTGCACCACTGCACTCCAGCTTAGGCAGCAGAGCTAGACTGTCTCCAAAAAAAAAAAAAAAACAAGGCTGGAGGCATCACATTACTTCACTTCAAATTATACTATGAAGTGATAGTAACCAAAACAGCACAGTACTGGTATAAAAACAGATACATAGACAATAGAACACAACAGAGAACCCAGAAATAAATCCATGTATTTACAGTCAACTCATTTTTGACAACAGCACCAAAATATACATTGGGAAAAGGACAGTCTCTTATATGGTGCTGGGAAAAGTGAATATCCATATACAGAAGAATAAAATTATATCCCTATCTCTTGTGATATACAATAATCAAATCAAAATGGATTAAAGGCTTAAATCTAAGACCTGAAACCACAAAATGACTAGAAGAAAACATTGGGAATACATTCTAGGACATCGGTCTGAACAAATATATATATATATATATATTTTTTTTAGAAGAACCCTAAATATTCCACCAGAGTCTCACTCTGTCACCCAGGCTGGAGTACAGTAGTGCCATCTCAGCTCACTGCAACCTCCACCTCGCAGGGTCAAGCAATTCTCCTGCCTCAGCCTCCCAAGTAACTGGGATTACAGGTGCCTGCCACCACGCCCAGCTAATTTTTGTATTTTTAGTAGAGACAGGGTTTCACTATGTTGGCCAGGCTGGTCTCAAACTCCTGACCTCAGGTGATCCGCCCTCCTCAGCCTCCCAAAGTACTGGGATTACAGGCGTGAGTCACCGCACCCAGCCTAGATTTCCTAATACCTGAAAAGCACAGGCCACCAAAGCAAAGAGGCACAAGGAGGAACACACGAAGTTAAAAAGCTGCACAGCAAAGGAAATGATCAACAAAGCGAAGAGAAAACCCACAGAATGGGAGAAAATATTTGCAAACTATCACTGTAACAAGGCATTAATAACCAGAATATATACGGAGCTCAAACAAGTTCTATAAAAACAAAAATCTATATATAGATTTTTAGAGGGGTGTAAGACCTAAATAGAGATTGACATACAAATGACCAACAGGTATATGAAAAAATGCTCAACCATCATTGAGCACCAAACAAACGCAAATCAAAATTATGAGCTATCATGTCATCCCAGTCAAAATGGCTTATATCCAAAAGACAGGCAATAACAAATGCTGGCGAGGACGTAAAGAAAGGGGACCTCTCATGCACTGTTGGTGAGCATGTAAATCCCCAGCCACTATGGAGAACAGTATGGAGGTTCCTTTAAAAAACCTAAAAATAGAACTATCATATGATCCAGCAATCCCACTCCTGGTTATGTATCCAAAAGAAAGGAAATCAATATAAACAAGAGGTATCTGTACTCCCATGTCTATTGTAGCACTATTCAAAACAGCCAAGATCTGGAATCAACCTAAGTGTCC